CGGGCTCCCAGTGCATGGAGCCTGCTTCTCCTTCTGCCTATGTCTCTGCCTCTCTCTCTCTCTCTCTCTCTCTCTCTCTCTCTCTTTCTCTGTGTGTGACTATCATAAATAAATAAAAATTTAAAAAAAATTAAAAAAATAAAAATAAAAAAATTATCTTTCCTTGGCTTCATGACACCACATTCTGTATCACCTCTTACCCCCACCCAATGCACTTTGAATCATTACTGATGACCAGAGGTCAAAGCCAGAACACATTTTATTCCTTGAATTAATATTAATTTAATTCAGCCATTTGTATTAGTAGTGATACTCACTTTCATGGATTTCCTTCTTGTGTACTCCTTCTTAGTCTTCTTTGATGCTCCTCTTCTCCCCACTCCATAAATGCTGGCAATTTTCAAGGCTCTGTTATTATTATTTCCTTACCTATCTATCTTAACCCTGTGGAATCTACCCATTCCTATTGTCTCCACTACTATCTATAAAGATACAAACATCAAACTCTTTTAAACAGTTGCCTGTTGAACATCTCAGCTTGGATGTTTTGCAAACATTTCAAATTTATTGGTACCATACTGTCCAAATATTGGAATCCTTCTAGATTCCATTCTCTCCCTCACTTCCAAGTTGCTGAGTCCTGTTGACTCTGCTTTATAAATATCTGCTGAGTCCATCCACTTATCCCTACTCTGTAATGGACATCTGTTGTTTTGACTTTCTAGCACCCTTTCCACTTCTTTCTGTTACCAGAAGACCTCTGTTGGATTTATTTTTAACTTATTGAAAATATGAGTCTGTCCTTTTCTAGATGGTGAAGCAGTAGTAGTTGCATTACAAAAGCAACCTGTGGCCTTGTTTTTAGTCATGTGGAGGAAGCCAGTATGAGAGAATAAGTTTGAAAAGTAGAAAGTATATAAAAAAGATAGGAAATGACAGCAAGGGGGATGACAAAGAAAAGGAGAGGGAATGAGGAAGAGACTGCTGTAATTTTGAGTTTCCTTTGTCCAACCCAGATGAAATTTTTACTTTAATGTTTTGATAATGAGTCAACAAATTCTTCTTTTAGCCCTTAGTTTGAGTTAGATTTGTATCACTTGTAACCAAAGAATTGTAATAGATATGGTAAGCCACTCCAGTCCACAGTCACCTCCTACCAAATCTCCCCATATGCACCCTTGCTCGCTGATAATCCATCGCCAAAATGCAACTAAATTATCGTTTGAAAATCAAGATTTCTGTCCTTAAAATAAACTCCTCAATCTTAACATGGCTTCTAAGGCCTTTATGTGATCTGATCTCTTACTACTTCTCACATCACATCTTGAATTATTCTATTGTGAACCATGTACTAGCCATACTATATTTCCCTTCAGTTCCTCAAGCATCAGTCTGAAAAGCTCTTACTTCTGTATTTCCCTGCACTTCCTTCCCTTCCCAGCTAGGTCAACTTCTGCTCATCTATAAGTGCATTTCAAGGGTCTTGGCCTAAGTTAAAACTCCTTTAGATATGTTCTTCTTTATCACACCTTTAATTGCTACACATTTAACGTAGATTTAGAGTGACGTCATTTCATTCATACCTTTAAACCTACTAAACTTTAAGTTCCATCAATGTACGAACCTGATCTGTCTTGCTTACCTCTGAATCATCTCCCCCACTTCCCACCATCACCCAATTCAGTGCCTGGAACAGAAGAAATAAATGCCTATTAGTATTTGCTGAATTGAGAATTAATTTTAAAATACAAATGAGCTGCCATTTTTTTTTATCAAACTGCCATCAAAGGGTTTTTATTATAATACTCAACATTGACAAAGATCTTTCACTCACTGATGATGAAAATATTAATGTTATGGTATTGTAATAGTAACTGAGCAGTAGGTATCAATTATTTAAAAACACAGTCCTTAGGCACCTGGGTGGCTTAGTCCGTTAAGCATCTGACTTCCGCTCAGGTCATGATCCCAGGGTACTGGGATCTAGCCCCTCATTGGACTCCCTGCTCAGTTGGCAGCCAGCTTCTCCCTCTCCACCTGCTTGTGCTCTCTCTCTGTGAAATAAAAAATAAATAAATAATCTTAAAAAGATAAAATAAAGAAATAAAAATGTAGTCCTTGACCTGACAATTTTACTTCTGAAAAGATTAAGAAGAACGTAATTCTAGGCAAAATAATGTACCAAGGAAACTTACCACAGCTTTGTTTCAATAAATTATTGTAAATTACAGGAAAAAAAGCCCGAATGTCCAACAATAGGGATTGTTTATTTTCTACATATACACTAGAATAAAATGTGGCTATTTAATGTTACAAGGTTATTACTCACATGGGAAAATATTCCTAACATGTTTTTAAATAACAAGAGGCAGGGGATCCCTGGGTGGCTCAGCAGTTTAGCACCTGCCTTCCACCCAGGGTGTCATCCTGGAGTCCCAGGGTCAGTCTCAGGATCCAGTCCCGCATCGGGCTCCCTGCATGGAGCCTGCTTCTCCCTCTGCTTGTGTCTCTACCTCTCTCTCTCTGTGTCTCTCATGAATGAATAAACAAAATAAAATCTTTTAAAAAAATAACAAAAGGCATATTAGAGAATGATATGAATGGTGTGATGTCACTTTAAGTCAACACACAGATATATAGAGATTACAAATCAATGTTGGGAGAAAATTCACCAAAATGCTATGTTTTATTATCTTTCAAAGGTGAGACTAAGTTGGTTTTACTTTAATATTTTTGCTTATCTGTATTTTCTATATCTCTTTAATGAGCAAATACTGGATGATTTAAAATTTTTCTCATAATTTGCTACCATATATGGAGAGTTTATAATCTTGCAGGCTCTATGCAAAATGCTTCATATGCATTATCATTTAATTATCAAATAATTGCTTCTGTTATTCAGTATTAAAAATGAAGAACTAGAGATTTAGAAATATTAATTTGCTCCAGGCCACACCTGGATTCCAATCCAAATTTGTCAGCCTCCAAAGCCCTAGCTCTTCTTTTTTTATTATTTTTTAAAGATGTTATTTATTTATTAATGAGAGACAGAGAGAGAGAGAGAGAGAGAGGCAGAGACACAGACAGAGGGAGAAGCAGGCTCCATGCCGGGAGCCCTATGTGGGACTGGATCCTGGGTATGCAGGATCAAGCCCTGGACTGAAGGCGGCGCTAAACCGCTGAGTCACCCGGGGTTCCCCTCTTTTTTTTTTTTTTAATGAAGACTTTATTTATTTATTTATTTATTTATTTATTTATTTATTTATTTGAGAGAACATGTGTGCATGCACAAAAGCTGGAGAAGGAGCTGAGAGCCAGCAAAGGAAGGAGGGAATGGGAGGAAGAGGGAGAGGAAGAAAATCTCAAGCAGAGTCAGTGCACAGTCCTAGGCTGGGCTGAATTTCATGACCCTAAGATCATGACCTGAGCCAAAACCAAGAGTCACACGCTTAACCAACTGAGCTGCCTGGGTGCCTCTCCAAAGCTCTAACTTTTAATCATTATACTATAATAACAAGGTACCTTAATGTGTACAAGGCACTCTGTTAAAGAGGTATTTGGTAAATAAGTCAGCAATTAGATCACCCTTACTTTCAAGCAGCTTACAAGTCAATAGATAAGATATATAGATGATTACATGGCATGGGAAAACATGTTTTGAATCATGAGAGGTACAAACCTGGAGGTCACAAAATTCAGGATGTGTTGTGAATAACAAGCACCTCACGTTGTAGTAATTAGTGCAGTTTCTCAAAATGTGGCCTTCAGTCCATCAGGGCCCACCTCAAGAGAAAAAAAAATCCCTCTCAATTTGGGAGAATTCAGATTATCTCCATGAGCATCATACATTTATGTCTTGCATTTTTAAAATGCTTTCCAATCCTCATAAACATTACTAACAATGTAATCTAAAATCTTGAGAATAAGGGAATTGATTAAGGGAATATATGAGGTGAACCAACACCAGGTTGTATTATATCCCTGAATACCTGAGGTCAGACAAATGCAATGTAAGCCCACCAACAGAGTGGGCTTAGTTTATACTGATTTGAAATTGGCCCTAGGAAGTTTTCTCCTGGGTTTCAAACAAAATCTTGGGACATGTTTGAGGTACAGATTGAAATGGATTCAAATTGCCTCCATTTGCCTATATTCTTATGGAAAATGTTAGGTGTCCTATTGCATCAGCCTCTTAGTTACTACCTTAAAAGGTCTGCTAGGATTTTGTTTTGTCTTGTCTTGCTTTTACTCAATGACACTTTTATTTTTTACTGTGGTAAGAACATTTAATATGAGCCTTATCCTCTTAAATTTCTAAGTACACAATATAGTATTGTTAATTATAAGCACAATATTGTGCAGCAGATCTGTAGAATGTTTTCATCTTATATAACTGAAACTTTATATCAGGTGAACAGCAAATCTCTATTTCCCCCTTCTTTCAGCCTCTGGCAAACACAATTTACTCTGTTTGTATTAGTTTAACTATTTTAGATACCTCATATAAGAGGAAAATCATACAGTATTTGTGACATAGCATAATGTCTTCCGGTTTGTCCACATTGTCATCTATGGAGCTAACAAACTAAAGCCCTTATGGTTTTTACTGGATCAAATCTTTTAGAATTTGTTTAATTGCTACCAACCACCTCTCTTGGTCTTCCCTCCCTTTGCATTTAACAATAGCCTTTAAAGAGGAAGGTATTCTGTTTTATTTCATAGATTGACCAGTTAGAAATGCACTTTACCAAAGCACTTTAATGCAGACCTACATCCTCAAAACTGAATTTATCACTGGAAATGCAAAGAGAGGAAAGACTAAAATGGGTAAATAGTAGCAATTAGCTAAGATCCTAAGAGGCTCAAGCTATTAAAAGCTAGGAGGGCTTTAGTTTGATAGCTCCAATTCCATACAGTCAGTAAAATTACAAGTAATCTTACTTTATTTTCCCAGTAACTGGGTCATGACGCTCTTTCTCCACCTTTACCTATTTCAACAGGTCATCTGACTGCAGGAATCTCTATATTGATTGGGTCCTCTCAGTAAGGGTGCTAACAGCTGTGTGTAGGTATGTCTGAGAACACCAGTCATCATTTTGAGTTCTTCAAGGCTGCCCACATATAAATACTCCTTTGTGCCTGTCATCTGTTTATAGATAAAATTTGTTACTGTGGGCCTCTGAACTGAAAATATTCATTCAGAATACATAGGTGTTGACTCTTTCCACCCACAGCGAACAGTGTGTTACACCAAATATCATCAATCCATCTGAAACACATTGAAATAAAAATACTCTTTCCCTGTTGCTCTACAAATCTGGTTGGTTCATTGGTTAGTTAATCATTTCTATGGGAGTGGGAGATGGAGGGAGTATGGGTGACAGTAAGCCAAAGTATCTGTGAGCTTGGCAATTTTGTCACCCAATAAATTATTATTAAAATGAAACCACTAATTTTTAAAGCAATTTTTGGCATAAGTTATTTAAACTTCTTAACAGTGGATATAAAACAGGTAGATTTCAACCTAAATTATATGTTACTCTGAACAGTGTTATAACATAATCATAGAATATCCCTCTTAAATTATTGTAGGACCTGTTTAAATAATCAAATCCTAATCAGAGTTCTTTTGACTATACGCAATGTCAGTTAAAATTCATCTCTGTAATTAGATTCAACAACAGCATTCATAACTAAAAGAAATGAATTTGGAGCCAGTTAATTTCATTGCATATCTATTTAGATTGGAAGTTACTTAGCATTAGATAAAATTGCAATAAAACTCAAATATAAACAACAGGAAGTAATATTATTTATAAAGTGTTTCTAAATATAAAACAAACAAAAAACATGAACAAAGTTTCAAAGAGCTAATGAACTTCTGAACCTCATGTACAGTAATATTGTATAGAGGAAAAAGAAGTTAATTCCAAGACTTAGAATATGGAAGGTTGATTGCCCCTTCCTGTACTTTCTGGATTGTGCTCAGAGAAAACAACAATAGCAACAAAAGTCAAAGCTCAATGGCTGTGGTAGGAGATAATGTATGATTGCTCTTATGGGCCTATTGTATTCTTGTTTTCTTCCTTTTCATTTAACTCATATTTGAAAATCTCCTATAGACAATTTGGCTCTTTCTCAGAGGTTCAGCCCAAACCTAGGTTCCATTGCTGTCAGATCTAGTGGAGGATAAAGCACAGGGCAAGAAGCTGAGTTATGATGTGTGGATGTCCCTTTAAGAAACTGACCACTCATTAGAAAGGAGAAGACTAAACTAAGAGTCATTCTCAGCTGGTCATTTTCTGCCATTTGATAGTGAAAATAGAGGCTCAAATTTCCCAAATTTACCTTCCTTTGAACTCCAATCTCAGTTATAAGAATTAATCTCTTAACCTATGTATAATGTTCCAATTGTGTGGCAATTTTGATGTATAGCACATGGAGGTTAGACTCTTCTTGCCATTCTCTAACATGAATTTGAAAAGTGATATTGTCACTCAAAGCATTCAAATGCTCATCTGTAGAATTTATATTTCCTACTTCACAGGGTTGTTTGAACATCAAATGAGATATTATACAAAACGTCCTAAGAAAATGCCGGACATAGAGCTGATTCTGGGTAAGCAGACAGTTATAATGTCTACCTCTCTCCCCTGCATAAGACATTGCCTTCCAGCTCTTTGGGAACTCTATGCCAACAATGATCTTTTCTTTCTCCCAGCTCACCAAACTCCCCTTTCCTGCTGGCTCCTGAAAGATCAACAAGCATTTATTGAATGTGTACTTACTAAGTGCCAGGTATTTTTCACATGTTATCTTAACCTAACCCTAACCTTTCCTGAAGTTATTGGTCTTTCTTTCTTCTTCTCTTTATGATGAAACCTCTTCAAAGAGGCTACAGTAGAAGAATCTGTATAAGGAATATTGTCAGAGGAAATATGGATGTCTAGATATTGTGCTCAAAATTTAGGTGGTGGGCAGCCCTGGTGGTGCAGCAGTTTAGCACCGCCTTCAGTCCGGGGCGAGATCCTGGAGACCTGGGATCCAGTCCCACGTCGGGCTCCCTGCAGGGAGCCTGCTTCTCCCTCTGCCTGTGTCTCTGCCTCTCTCTCTCTCTCTCTCTCTCTCTGTCTCTATGAATAAATAAATAAAATCTTTAAAAAAAGAGAAAAAAAAAACAAAATTTAGCTGGCATGTTCGAGTGCCACCTAAATAGACACAAAAGTCTATTTTCCACATCATCTTCTTAAAAGAATCCTGATTCTCAATATGTTAAGATCCACTGATCGAAGTCAGTGACATTTTAGGACTGTTACACTATCCCTTCATACCTGCTCTTCTCTGTAATATGTACTGAAGTATTCTAGCTTTTGTCATCAGTAAACTTTTACTTGCCAAATTCTAATTTTTATTTTTAGTCTGCATCCTGTGTAATCTATCAGCATCATATGAAGTTCAACCTAAGCTTTTCTTCTTGGAACTTTCTTGTCACTTCACTTCTGACATTACTTTCATCTCCCAATAAGTCATGTTTGTGCACTCCCATTTCTTTCTCTTTTCCTACTCATCAATATGAGTCCTAAATTTTGATATTTACCAACATACACTTTCTCTTATTCTTGTTGTACATGCTTTTTATGGATTATATAATTCATGTCCAAAAACGTCCCACATCTCTAGATCAGACTTATCCTGATATCCACATTCATATTTCCAGGTGATTAAAAAAAATTCATAAATGTCCAGAAGCATACTAAAGTTTTAAGCTTCACTAATAATAAAAGAAATTCAAATTATTATAAAAGTGTTCCTTTCCTTTACCATATGACTCATGGGTATTTTTTTTCTAAATATACCATGTTGAAAAATTCAAGGATAAACAGATACACTAATGCATTTCCAAAGAAGAGTAGATTATTACAACCTTCATACAGAGGAATTTGGCTCTGTAGCTCAGAATTTTTTAGAATATGCATATATAGTTCTGTTTCTGTAATATGAAATTATACCAAAGGGCCTTCCCATTAAGACAACTAGAACTTAGATGAATTAAGATATTTTTAAGGCATGGTTAATCTCATAAGAAGAAAAAGAAATCTCAAAGTATGAAGGGGGAGGTAATGAACTAAAATTTGAGAAGACCCACAAATAAGCAGACAGCAAAAGTAGGTTGCCCTGGAAGCAAATACTGACAGAAATCCTAAAACCCTAACGTCCTAACCTTTAGGTTTGTCTCAGGGTTGGAGAGCTAATGTGAATCTCTTATGTTACTCTGGACCCTCCATGGAGCTGAAGTGATCCCAGATATTGGCAAATTATGATATTGGCAGATGTAACCATAGATATCCTTTCTAAGGGAACATCCCAGAAAGGGCCCCTACGATTCCTACAGATTGAATTTAAGAACTTATGATCTTATAAATACAAATTAAGTCATCGTGAGAGAGTTATCAGAAACAAAATACAGATTCAATGTCAAAGGAAATTCATATGATGAAATTATCAGAAAAACAACATTAAGTAAATATATGTGAAGTGATAAAAATTTAAAGATAGCTTATCTTAAAACCAACCAAAAACTATTAAAAATGACCAAGAAGTATTTAAAACAATGTAATCATTGATATTAAAAACTTATTGAGTCATATCAGATAGAGATGAAAGAGATAATTCATGAACTGGAGAAGAGATATCAGGAGAACACTCAGAATTAGCAAACATAGATGGCACAAAATAAAGAGACTGCATGATATAATAGAGAAAAGATTCAGGAACCAGACTAACTGAATTTCAGCTTGATCACTAATTGGCTCTGTAACCTTGGGCATGTAACTGTCCTCTCTGTACTTCAGTTTTATCATCCGTTAAAAAAATTGGAATTTGTGTAAGGATGAATGCTTGGACCAAAGCTGATAATATTAAGCATATAGAATAAATGTTATTAATATGACAGAAGTAAGCCCAAAATATATATTATATCAAGAAACATGTGGCTTAACTGCCCTGCCAAAAGAAAAAAAGAGAAAAAGAAAAAACACAAGTCATGATAGCTTCTAACAAGGTAGAATTCAGAGTATTAGAAAAGACATAGAAAGGTAGATTAAAGGTACAAAAGGTACAAAATTCACAGTGAAGATGTAATGTTATACATTTTTTTTCACCCAGTGACAGTAAGGTAATTTCATACGGCAGAAAATGCAAGACGTACAAAGATAAATCAGCAGAAACAGTAATCAGGCTTAATTCTCCTCCCAGTGCAAGATGTAACAAGATGAAAAGCATAAGAAAAGATTTAGAAAACTTAAATAACATTTTCAATAAAATAGATGATATGCACATATATTGAACTTTTGTACCTGAAGTGGAAATTACAGCTTTAAAAAAAAGTCCTTATGGAACCTTTATTAAAACTGATCATTTATCAGGTCACAATGAGAGATTTATCGAAGTCTAAAGTAGAATCAATACAGAAAGCATTGCTTGACCACAAAACAATAAAAGAAAACTCCTCCACTAAGAAATATTTAAAAACAAACTTGTTGAGTTAAAGAAGAGGGTAAAAACAAGCAAAAGTTGCAGAATTTCAGAAAATGACTGTTACAGGTTGATTGTATTTCCCCTAAATTCACATGTGGAAGTCCTAACAATACCTGAGAATGTAACCATATTTGGAAATAAAGTCATTGCAGATATAATTGGTTAAGATGTGGCCAACTGGAGAAATTTGGGCCCCTAATCCAATATGTCTGGGGTCTGAATAAAAAAAAGGGGAAAATGGGGCACTGAGACATACACACACACACAGAATGCCACATGGAAATGAAGACAGAGCCACCAGAAGCTAGTGGAGAGGCATGGAGCAGCCCTCAAAAGGAAGCAATGCTGCTCACATCTTGATCTCAGACCTCCAGCCTCCAGAACAAAGACCATGCATTCGATTTTTAAGTCACTAAGTTGATAGTGCTTTGTCCAAAAGTCTGAAAACTTTACTACTATTTTCTGCTTAGTTGCCCAAATCTCCAATTAGACCGTATTTATCATTGAACAAATAAGCATTTAAAGGGAGTAAATTAAATTCTCCTTACAGTATCTTTTAACTCAAAGATTGTTGTCTATTTATTTGTGTGCTTATTTTGTTTTGATTTTAGGGGAATAGTAGGCCTTTCAAAAGCTCCTAATTTGTATGTCTGAAGTAACAGGATCTTAGAAGTCATTGAAAAGGCTTCTACATTATTTTTCAAAATGCTAAAATGGCATAGAAATAACATGTATGTGTTAAGAGCACTTCTTTTTTTAAAAAAGATTTTATTTATCTATTCATGACAGACACAGAAAGAGAGGCAGAGACATAGGCAGAGGGAGAAGCAGGATAACCACAGGGAGCCTGATGCGGGACTTAATCCCAGGATACCCGGATCACGACCTGAGCCAAAGGCAAACCATCAACCACTGAACCATCCAGGTGTCCCAGTTAAAATCACTTCTTGAGAAACTTTTAAAATGTAAAGATGCAAACCATTACATACCTGAATAAGGATATTTCCCTTTTTCCACAAGAGCATACAAATATAGGGACTTAAAATTTTCTGTGTTGCATTTTAAAGGGTGGCAGGAAAGAATGACTAGATGTGGAGTGAAAGCAATGGCAAGTCTGGATTGCTTTCCAGCAAAGTGTTTCTATGATACAAAGAAGTGAAAGTATGTGTTAATTTGTAGCTTTTTGCATAGAAAATGATCTTATTTAAGTCATTACAATGGAGTGGAATAGAAAATAACGTTATTTGAGAGCAAGTGGCACAGATTTAAAAATATTTTTTCCTCTGAAAATGTTTAGAACAATGATACCACTTTCACATTATGTGTGGCAATTCATTAACAAGATAGCTTTTAATTAATTTATTTATTTTCTTAATTCTGGTATAGTTAACATACATATTATACATATTAGTTTCAGGTGTACAACATAGTGATTCAACAATTCTATACATTACTCAGTGCTCATCATCATAATTGTACTCTTATTTCCCTTCATCTATTTCACCTTACCCTCACCAACCTCCCTTCTGGTAATAAACAACTTATTCCCTATACTTAAGAGTCTATTTTTCTGTTTGTTTTTGGTTTTTCTTTGTTCATTTGTTTTGTTTCTCAAATTCCACGTAGGATTGAAATCATATGGTATTTGTCTTTCTCTGACTTATTTCACTTAACATTATACCCTCTAGATCCATCCATGTTATTGCAAATGGTATAATTTCATTTTCTTAGCTGAGTAATATTCCATTGTGTATATATATCTATATATACCACCTCTTCTTTACCATTCATCTATTTATGGACACTTGAGTTGCTTCCATATTTTGGCTATATAAATGATGCTGCAATAGATACAGCAGTGCATATATCTTTTTAAATTAGTGTTTTTGCATTCTTTGGGTAAATACCTAGTAGTGCAATTGCTGGATTATAAAGTAGTTCTATTTAACTTTTTTGAGGAACTTCCATACTATTTTCCAGAGTAGCTGCACCAGTTTGCATTCCCAGCAACAGTACATGGGGATTCCTTTTTTTACGCATCTTCATCCACACCTGTTGTTTATTCTGTTTTTTATTCTAACTATTCTGACACATGTGAGGTGATATCTTATGGTGGTTTTGATTTGCATTTACATGATGATGAATGATGTTGAGCATCTTCTCATGTGTCTGTTGACCATCTGTATATCTTTTTTGGAGAAATGTCTGTTCATGTCTTCTGCCTATTTTTAATCGGATTATTTGGTGATTTTTTTTTGGTA